AGCTATACAGAGCTATACAGGGCTATACACAGCTATACAGTGATATACACAGCTATACAGGGCTATACATAGCTATACAGGGCTATACACAGCTCTACACGCTTATACACAGCTATACACAGCTATACAGCGCTATACACAGCTATACAGGGCTAAACGCAGCTATACAGGGCTATACACAGCTATACAGGGCTATACAATGCTATACAGGGCTATACAATGCTATAAAGGGCTATACACAGCTTTACAGAACTATACTCACCTATACAGGGCTATACACAGCTATACAGGGCTTAACACAGCTATACGGGGCTAAACACAGCTATACAGAGCTATACACAGCTATACAGGGCTCTACACAGCTATACAGAGCTATACGCAGCTATACAATGCTATACATAGCTAAACAGGGCTATACATAGCTATACAGGGCTATACACAGCTATAAAGGACTATACACAGCTTTACAAGGCTAAACACAGCGAAACAGAGCTATACACAGCTATACAGGGTTTTACACAGCTATACAGGGCTATACACAGCTTTACAGGGCTATACTACACAGGGCTATACACAGCTAGACAGGGCTATACATAGCTAGACAGGGCTATACAGAGCTATACACAGCTATTCGGGGCTAAACACAGCTATACAGAGCTATACACAGCTATACAGGGTTATACACAGTTATAAAGGGCTATACATAGCTGTACAGGGCTATACACAGCTATACAGGGCTATACACAGCTATACACGGCTATACAGGGCTATACACAGCTATACAGAGCTGCACACAGATAAACAGAGCTCTGCACAGCTATACAGGGCTATACATAGCTATACAGGGCTATACACAGCTATACACACAATACGCAGCTAAACAGAACTATACACACCTATACAGGGCTATACAGGGCTATACAGGGCTATACAGGGCTATACAGGGCTATGCACAGCTATACAGAGCCATACACTGCTTAACAGAGCTATACACAGCTATACAGAGATGTGTAAAAATGGATGGAAGAAATTTTGAGTTCCCGTTGTTATTCTATTGAACGTTTGTGATCGAAATCTTTTTTCAATTGCTGTAACGATTCAATTTGCATCAGATTTATTTGTTCCTGAAAGGCGAAGGATTAGGCACATCAAAATGAAATTAAGGATCAGTTTGTCACCTAATAAGTATAAAATTGCTGTAAAATGGATTTTCTTAATTTGCTTTTAAATTCTTACTCCGAAATAGGCCGTAGATGCCACTTAAGTGCTCAAGCGATCGTGGAAAACCTGCAGAGCTAAATGAAAAATGTTATCCACTACCTAGAAGGATAAGAACATTCAGACTAATGTTACTTGGATTTTGCGAAAGGGTCGAGCTCAAAGGGTAGTTTTGGACGATTTTTATTAACGATCTCCCGGGTGAAACTGTAGGCGGGATGAGGGCAGCGTTATACGCTGATGACACCAAGCTGCATAAAAACGTCAGCTCCGTCAGCGATTGTCTGTCTCTGCAGACCACTCTAGCAAACGTGAATGACTGGTCATAAGGAAATAACATCAACTTCAACACCTAGAAATGCACAACACTTACTGTGACGCGGATGAAAACTCCCTTGATTTACGAATACATCCTATACAACACACAACTTGTGCGAGTGTCCGCGGAAAACGATCTAGGAGTTACAATTATGGGTACGTTGTCTTGGCACTCTCATATATACACCATCACCGCCAGAGACAACAGGCTCCTTGGGCTCCTAAAGCGGACATGTCCATTACTAACTGACGTATCTACCCGGCGCGCGCCATACTTATCGCTAGTCAAGTCACAACTCTGCTGCGCTACTCAAGCCTGGTCGCCCGCTCAGGTTTCCCTGAGGGCACAAGTCGAGTGAGTGCAGCGGCGCGCTACCAAATGGATCTTACAAACCCGGATTGGCGAGATGTCTTGCAGAGACAGACTCATTACCCTTGACTTACTCCCTCTTACCTACGACAGAGAACTGAAAGACTTGATATTCTTTTATAAGTGCTTATTTAATCATATTCACCTTGATGTATGCATTTGCTTCAATTCCTGCCATTTGAATTAACAACTTTTTTAACAACTTTATTTGGTTTATAACATAGTACTAACTACACCTCTAGCTTGTAGCACGAGCAAGTTCTAACTAGTGTCTACGCGCAGGGCTAGTCAATGTCAAAGGACGTTCTCAGGCAGTCAAAAAGTGTTTGTTTGACGAAAAGCTGGAAGGAGAGCGGACTCGAAAAACTAGAAGGAGCAATAGTACAAGAGTAATTCCAAAGTTTCACAATGCTATTAAAGTAGGAGGCCTGAAAGGGGCTCGTTTCACAGATTGGTGTTTTTAAATTAAAGGAGTTACTTAGTCTACTACGGCCGTGAGAAATAAAGTTTGTGAAACTACGTACTTGTTCTTTCGAATTTCACAAATTGCCTTTATCACGTGTTTATTTCTTTGATAACACACTTTTACAAAGAGTGAAAGAGAGAATGCCGTCAATGAGGGAATGCAGAACTATCATTGGTATACGAGTAGTTAAAAAAACTATTGTGGTAAGTTAAACATGTAACAAGTTATACTTATTCTGCAGCAATCCAATATGAACGAGTTTGCATACGATTAGTTACACCTTTTCCAACATAAACATGAAATGCGCACCGTGAATCTTTTGTTATAATAATAAGATAAAAAAGAACAAAAATAGTCGTACAAAATCTAGGTAATCACTCAGTTTTGACACAAAGCTGTATTAACTTAGTAATTTCTCTGTGTCCTAATACAATGTGAATTAGAAATCATGAATCACTAGTCATTTTTTCTTGCGTTTTTCATCCATTAAAGAGAAAGCTCAAAAGTCTGATTGGACATGAGATCTAACGGGTAACTTTTTGAACTTTTTGAAGAACACTCTTTTACCAAAGAGACGACCTAGAAAAGAGGTCACTTACAAGGTAAAGACCTTTAGCAGTTAAAACATTCATGTAAATATGGGAATGGTAGTTAATCATGGCTAAGAGGGTGCTGGTGTTTATTTAAAAAAAAAAAGGTACAGAGAAAACTTTGCACGATTATGAAAACTTACCCTAATTCCCGATTTATGTGCTGTACACCCCAGTTTTATCTGAAGATTGCTTAGTCTTGGTTCACTCGTGGGTGGTGTGTAACTGTGTATATCTCTGTAAAGTTGTCTATAGCCCTGTATACCTGTGTAAAGCCCTGTATAGCTGTGTATAGCCGTGTATAGCCCTGTATAGCTGTGTATAGGTGTTTACACCTCTGTATACCTGTGTAAAGCCCTGTATAGCTGTGTATAACCGTCTATAGCCCTGTATAGCTGTGTATAGGTGTTTACACCTCTGTATAGCTGTGTATAGCCCTGTATAGCTGTGTATAGCCCTGTATAGCTGTGTATAGCCCTGTATAGCTGTGTATAGCCCTGTATAGCTGTGTATAGCCCTATATAGCTGTGTATAGCCCTGTAGAGCTGTGTGTAGCTGTGTATAGCTGTGTATAGCCGTGTATAGCCCTGTATAGCTGTGTATAGCCGTGTATAGCTGTGTATAGCCCTGTATAGCTATGTATAGCCCTGTATAGCTGTGTATAGCCCTGTATAACTGTGTATAGCCCTGTATAGCTGTGTATAGCCCTGTATAGCTGTGTCTAGCCCTATATAGCTGTGTATAGCCCTGTATAGCTGTGTATAGCCCTGTATAGCTGTATATTGCCTTGTATGGCTGTGTATAGCCCTGTATAGCTGTATATTGCCTTGTATGGCTGTGTATAGCTGTGTATAGCCGTGTATAGCTGTGTATAGCCCTGTATAGCTGTGTATAGCCCTTTATATTTGTGTATAGCCCTGTATAACTGTGTATAGCCCTGTAAAGCTGTGCATAGCCTTGTATAGCTTTGTATAGCCCTGTATAGCTGTGTATGTCCCTGTATAGCTGTGTATAGCCGTATATAGCTGTGTATAGCCCTGTGGAGCTGTGTATAGCTCTGTATAGCTGTGTTCACTATGAACTCAAAACCCATGAAAATCTTGTGAAATAATTCATTGTAAATTCACAGATTTTTCACAGGATTTTCATGGTTAAATCAATGACATTTTCATGGTCTCAGTGCCATGAAAAAGACCTGAAAAATCCCGTGAAAAACCTGTGAAAATTTTCCATATTCATGACTCATGAAATATTGAGTAAAGTGACCTAGAAGCCATGAAATACCCATGAAAATGGCATTTCATGGCCTTTTCAAAGGTACTGAGAAACCCATGAATTTCAAGCCCAAAATTTCATGGTGTCAAATTTCACTAGTTTTTAATGGGTTGCAGCAAATCATGACCCATGAATATCCTGTGAATATGTAAAAAATTCATTGACCATGAAAATTTTCCTTGAATTTCCATGGCCTCTACATGGTTTTTTCATGGCACATGAAAGTTAATTGCCAGTTAGTTTTCATGGGGTTGTTAGGAATATGCAAGCACCATGAAAATTCTTTGGAAACCCTATGAATTTGGAATTAAAATTCTTCACTTTTCTTGTACCAAAGACTGTACTACAGTTTATAGCTTGCAGTACACCATAACTGTAATACATACACTATCACTTAAATTATACACTGAAGAACTAACCTATCTGTGAAACATCTTGGTCCTGTTGTACAAGCACACACACATGAAAGACATGACCAGAAGTCTGGATTCTCTGATAGTTTATTTTGTTTCACCAGCTGTACATAAATATTACTTTAGGATTCCAAAATTGTGATAATTCAGTTTACACTTTCTTAAATAAAAAAAGTTGGTATGAAATTTTCTGCATAAAATTAAGATGTTAATGATTTTTAGCTCTATTTTGATATCACTGATTTTCCTTGTGGAGACAGATTCTGGTCCTATATTTCTGTTTATTTAAACTATTTTGAAGGTATATTATAAATAAATTTGATGTGAAAAATATTTGGACGAAATTATTGAAAATATACTCACTGGTTTGATGTATTTTTGTCTAAACTTCAAATATCATTTCCTTCGTCTAAAATCATGTGTAAAATGTTATGGACAGTTATTATAATGTCTATTTATGTAACAGCATTCATGTAAATTTCTTGATATGTTTTACACTTGTGATCAATACTCTCAAGGTAACTAACAACAAAACAATTACCAACTTTCTGCACTCTTGCATGTGTGAAGATATATCTATGGCTGACTATGTCAGTGTCTCTCTGTTTTGGCCACCTGAATGTGCCATCCTTCTTTCGGTTATCATTACTATTTGCATCTTCATCATCATTTGGACCAAGATAGGCTGCTTTAGCAAGTTTGCATTTCCTTTCATCAGTTTTGTAGACCAACACTCTTCACTGTTTGCAAAATAAAGGGAGCACATCATCAGTTATCTAAGAGCCTTTCTTATGTACGTAGTAAACCTAGAAATGGATAACTCGCCAAAACAGGTTCTTTTCAACATGAAGCCGTCAGATACTAAGCGACGCACTGTGGAAGTGAGGTGAGGTATTTCGTATTCAGAATTTGACTGTATTTTTTATTCCTAAGAACGGTCGTAAGTATTTCCATACAAACTCTTGTGATGTTTCGCCAGATGATCACAGAATAAAAATTTTCAAGTTAAATCAATAGTTAGCGCGCGCGCTCCGATGTTTACGCGTAATAAGATGACCAAGCTTGAACTTACCCCTTCACGTTGCAGAGGCGGATCCAGGGGAGGGGTTGAGGGGGTTGCAACCCCCCCTTTGAGCAGCTTTTTTTTTATTATTGTTATTTTGCTTGATTCTTCCTAAAAATAATAGAATAAAATTGTTTTACGAAGTTATTTCACTTTTACCATTCGACTGCTTGTCAAGTTATGAAAAGATAATGTACATTTCGCAAAGGTCGTATCAGGTTCAGGTATATTAAAACAGGCGACATGAACAGGTGACATTCATTGAAAATTAAACGAGGGGGATTGAGACCGACCGAATGCTTGAGTATCGTTGAAGTGAGTACAACGTTTGACGGAAAATGAAGAAAATAACAGACTTTTATGCAAAAAAATCAGGTAAGTTCGTGGTTCTTTTTCAAAAGAAGTAGTTTAATTTAATTCTATAACACCAAAAACTGTTTTCAACAGCCAGCATCCTCGACATACCGTGTAATTTATAAACAAAGTGCATGCGTTTTCCATCACGCCGCCATCTTGCCAACTGGCTGGCGAGATAATCATTCCTTTCAAATATAAACATTTTGCAGATTCAGCGACTGACGAATCAAGGTCTGAAGAATCTGCGAGTGATAATGAAGGTATTAACGAAGGTAAGCAGAAATAAAATTGTCATTAAACCGAGGCAGTTACATTAAAATTTATCATGATATTAAGACTTAATTAATACTTCTCTAAATGAACTGTCATGATAAATACAGAAAGAAGCTGTTCTGCTCCTCCGAACAAGCTGCCAAAACTCAGCAACCCAGACGATCAAGCTGGAGTGTCCGGGATCGAAGGTAGAAAATTCTAATTTTTTTTTTTATCTGAATGTTAAACTTATATTGACCAGTCCGAGAAAAAAGTATTTATTCAAATAATGCAAGAAGTCTGGAGAATTCCAAGTAAAACTGACTAGTATTAATTTCGTTTTGTACACAGCTTTGCCTGATGAGGTATTGGTCGAGGTGTTTAAAAACTTCTCCCTGAAAGAAATGCTTAAAACATTGTGCCTGGTCTCACGAAGGTGGAGGCACATTGTAAACAATAACAACATTCTGTGGAGTTGCCTCCTTCTTGATGAGTGGCACATAACATATTTAAGTGAAGAACAATTTATGAACATCATGTCACACTCCAGTGGGTTCAGATATTTATCTATAAGATATATCGAAATGACAACATCCGAAATGAGGCTGGAAGCATTACTAAGAAATAGTATAGAATTTTCTAAACATTTGAGATATTTGGATTTAAGTGGACAACCGATATCATCCCTTAATTTTCTATTGATTGAGTCCTCTCCTCTTGAAACCTTGATCCTTAATGACTGTCAAAAAATAGATACCTGTTGTTGTACTGCTATTTTAAAGCAATTAAGAAATCTTAGAATATTGTCGCTCAACCGAGTAGCCTGATTCACTGCCAATCAAGTGGCAACAATTACTGCCTCTTTATGCTTATTGAATGTTCTGTGCCTGGTTGGTGTAAGCCTTGCGAGGGAAGACATAAGACTGATTTTGCAAAAATTGAATCACCTTCAGTTTTTTGAAATATCTTGTAGTTCTGAAGATAAAGAACATATCTATGCTCTAGGGGAAGAATATGACATTAGTTTTGTTTGCCGCTAAGAGTAAAAATATGTTAAATAACACGGTGGCATAACAGTGTTGTGTTATAGAAAATAGTTTATTATAACATTTACTGAAGGTCTAACCAAGACATTTTGTATCAGCAGGCTATGGTATTTTTTTTTTAATTTGTGTGTATGACAACTGCAAATATTGTCAATTGAAATTTTGTCAAATAAAAAATATGTGTGTTCAATTTTTATTGAGGTTATTTGAAGTAGGTAAGGGACTAACATATTAGGGGTTATTAATGTATACAAATAGTTGTTTTTATAAATTTTAGATGTTGTTACAAAAGGCCCTGTGGCTGCCACTTCTGGTTCAACCACAGGCACAAAGATCGATTTGGGTACTGTTGTGAAAGCTGCTGAAGGCTCGTGGGGTGTTTTGAAGCGATTATCGCGATTATCGAATGCAATACCTTACGTTTCACTGGAAGCCTTCTGAGTCCGATATACTTCATTCTCATCAAGTTACCAAAGGAAAGAAGACGTGGAAAGTTTCTTTTCAATCCAAATCGCTAAAACAGTTTCCCTGGCTTTGCTACAGTAACTTACTTGAAGGTGGTATTTGTAGTCACTGTATCTTATTCCCTCACAAAGTTACCAAGGGAACAACACCAGGTGTATTGGTCACAGCACCATACCAGAAATCGTACACTAAGGCACTTGGCAAGGATGGCATCCTCAACTGTCATGAGCAATCTGTGATTCATAAATATGCAACTGAACAGGCAGACCTCTTCAAACAAACTTTTGAGAATCCTGACAGGTGTAGAGTAGATTCCCAGCTGGCGACGTCCGTAGCCAATCAAGCCACTGAGAACAAAGAAATTCTACGACAGATTGTTTTGGCTGTAGAGTTTCTGGCAAAGCAGAGTCTGGCCTTTAGAGGTCATCATGATGATCGTGTTGATTTTTCTAGTTATGAAATTAACAGAGGAAACTTTGTTGCCCTGCTACAATTACTGGCCAAAGGAAACGACTCTCTTCAGAAGCACCTCTTGTCATCAAACAGACAAGCAAGATATACTAGCAAAACTATCCAGAATGATGTCATTCACGTGTATGCGTCAAAAATTAAGGAAAGGCTGACAAAAGACCTAAGGACCAAGGAACTTCCTTTCACGATTATAGCAGATGAGAATAAAGATCCACACTCAAACCAGGAAATCTTATCTTTATGCTTGAGGTTTGTGGACCAGTCAACGCCAAACGATCCTCATGTCAAAGAATGCCTAATTAGTTTCATGCACTTGGAACGAACAAATGCCAATGCAAATGCGAACAATTTCTTTGGATCCTAGCAACATCCGTGGTCAGGCATATGATGGAGCCTCCGTTATGTCAAGTGGAAAGGAAGGAGTGCAGGCGAAGATAAAAGAGACCAGTCCGTTAGCTCTTTACACGCATTGCTATGCTCACTGCCTGAACCTCTCCATCGCAGCAACATGCAAACTGCCAGAAGTGCGAAATTTGATAGGCCTGATTAACGAGGCATATCTATTTTTAAATAACAGCCCAAAGCGGCAGCAGCTGTTCGAGTTGACACTGAAAGAATACCTGCCTGAGAATTCTCACAGCAAGCTTCCAGGTCTTTGCAAGACACGCTGGGTGGAAAGACACACTTGCCTAGATGTTTTCCTGGAAATGTATGAGCTCCTTGTCACCTTTCTAGATGCAGTTATTTCCCCCCACGAGTACCCACATTTGAAATCGTCTACTGGAAGCTGGAATTGGGACAAAGATACTATCACAAAAGCCCAGGGACTGAAAGCCTCTTTGTTGACATTCCAGACTGTAGTGGTTTTCATTACAACCAAGAATATTCTTGATGAAGTTAAAGCTCTTGCATCAAAGCTGCAGAAACAAGATCAAGATATTTTTGAAGCTTACACGATGGTTGACGAAGTAATTGGAAACATCAAGTCTGCTAGAAAAAACATTGACGTTGACTTTCAAGTCTGGTACAAAGAAATGTTAGACCTTTCTGGGAAACTAGGAATCGTTGAAGCTGTACCCAGAAAGACTAGCATACAGAGGAATCGCTCAAACATTCCCAGTTCTACTCCAATTGACCATTACAAAAAATCTGTGGCTATTCCCCTTCTTGATTCCCTGATTATTCAAATGCAAGACCGATTTTCTGGCGAGGATCGCCACGCCCGTCACTTGCTTTATCTAGTACCCTCAATCATAGTTAATAACTCCCAGGAGCTATCTGAAGCAGCAAAAGGCATGTTGTTCTGGGAGAATGACCTTCCATTTCCCAAATCCCTTGGAAATGAGCTGCGACGATGGCAAACTATGTGGCAGTCAGCAGAGAAGGAACTTCCAAACAATCTTCTATTAGCACTTGGTGTGTGTGACGAGGATACTTTTCCAAACATCCATCGTCTTCTTCTAATTGCATGCACCCTACCAATCAGTAGTGCGGAAGCTGAGCGGTCCTTTTCACTCATGAAACGGATCAAGACCTGCACCAGATCAACGATGTCAGAAGGGCGCTTCTCAGATCTCGCCGTGATCGCCATGCATTACCCGGAGAGATTCGAAGTAGACGAGATCTGCGAGGCTTTTGTAAAAGCTCACCCTTGAAGACTATTTCAGGCTACGTTGTTTGATTGAGGTACGTTGAGGTTCAAATAACTATTGTTGATACTGCCGTCCCTTTCAATCATGCATTATTATTTTTGGGTTTCTGAATGAGAAATAAAGCAAATTCCAGATTTTATATCATGCCTTTACAACGCTTTTTAAGTCTCAGGAATTCTGCTTATGGCATTTTAGAGGGAAAAATCGTAAACATTATGTTTTGGGGGGAGGGGTATGGCTCCCGACCCACTCAAGAGATCGCGCCAGAGGCAGGGGCCGTCACTCGCCTTCCACACCATTGGTGTTCAAGGTTACTTCAGTAGTGTACAACCCCCCCCCCCTTTCAGAAATTCCTGGATCCGCCCCTGCGTTGTAATGCATATCGATAACTTTATCTTGAGGAAACCTCTTTGAAAAAACTTTTCAGACGGTCTATTGCGTTGATCTGGAAAAAAAGAGACTGCTACACAAACACTACGAGAAATGCAATTGGAATGGAACCATTCCGTTCGAGGTACGAAAAAAACCGCCACTTCTTCGTAAATCACGTGTACTTTCACGTGGTGACCTTAGGTCATCGCAGCCATCATAGGTCAGCGGTCACATAGTGACCTCACAGGTCATCGTGTTCGACGTTACGAAATGACTCCGAAGAGGTCTCGTTGCTGCGTCTGTAATCTTACAAAATAAAGCAGCACAAAAAGCTGTTCGGTATTTGGAATTCGAAGCAAGCAACAATCGACAGGACATCAGAGTCCAAGAAAGTCAGAGCTGACATCGACAGTGATTCCTGTGAAAGTGATCACGAAATCAACAACGATGTTGTAGAAGGCGATCTCAATGAATACATGAAGGTAACGTTTCATCCCGAATGAGAAGATGGTCTGACTCTGTTAACCGGCGACTCTATGAACGAGGTAAAAATAGCATTTTTTTCAGGTTACATTTGCACACTATTCAAAGTTCCAAATTGAGGTGATAAAGTGATTGATTTTTCATTGTTTTGTTCCACATTTCGTGTAGATGCAATGCGTACTATTGCTGTGCAACTTAAGCATCTGTACTCTGCAGGTGCCTTACTGGAAAAGCCCTAGAAGATTCCTCAGCCGTAAGAATGTAAGAAAAGGTCTTGAACAGGTTTCCAGAGTCATGGCTAACAATCAAAGCCAGCAGTGAGGCAGAAAAGTCGTCCAGGCATGGCGAAGGCAAAAAGGCCCCAAAAAATCAAAGTGAGGATCAAACATCTGGGTCATTGCCTCCAGCCCCATTTGTCTCAACAAAGGAGCAAATTGAAGATCCATTGTTTTTAGTCATTGTTTTGTGATTTCCTGTACATTTTACGTTAACAAAGGCCACTTAAGATGTTTAGGGACATTTTCATTCGACAGTTTTCGCGCTGTAAACCAAAATTCCATCAGTGGATAAATTTATAACAAGTCAGTTCCACGGATCATGAAAGTCAGCTCGTTGATAAATCAGTGACTGTGATGAACTCATTAATACCACTTTTAATGGCCTATGGATTCATCAATGAAATTCATGGGCAACAGATTTCAGGGAATATTCATGGCCCATTAATTTTGTTCTCCCAAAACAAATAAATTGTTAGCCCATGAAATGCTGTTCGATTGTAATTCATGGGCATGAAATTCATTCTGATGACTTTCTGGGGAAACTAATGGGTCATGAAAGTAGACTTTGAAGAAATTCATGGGTCATGAAAGTAGGCATATAAAGAAATTCATGGGTCATGAAATTAATTCTGGTGACTTTCATGGCAAATCAATGGGTCATAAAAATAGACTTTGAAGAAATTCATGGGTCATGAAAAAAATTCCCCTAATTCATGGAAAATTCAGGACTAAAAATAACCCCATGAAATTTCATTTCACAGTATTCATGGGCCATGAAATGATCTTCATGGGTTTTTCACATGAAATTCATGGAATTTTCATAAAACTACAGTTCATAGTGTGTTTAGCCCTGTGTAGCTGTGTATAGCCATGTATAGCTGTGTATAGCCCTGCATAGCTGTGTATAGCCGTGTATAGCTGTGTATTGCCCTGTAGAGCTGTGTATAGCCCTGTATATATAGCTGTGTATAGCCGTGTATAGCTATGTATAGCCCTGCATAGCTGTGTATAGCCCTGTATAGCCCTGTATAGCTGTGTATAGCTCTGTATAGCCCTGTATAGCTGTTTATAGCCCTGTATAGTTGTGTATTGCCCGTATAGCTGTGTATAGCCCTGTATGGCTGTGTATTGCCCTGTATAGCTGGGTATAGCTGTGTATAGCTGTGTATAGCCTTGTATAGCTGTGTTTAGCTTTGTCTAGCTGTGTATAGCCCAGTATAGCTGCGTTTAGCCATGTATAGCCCTGTAGAGCTGTGTATAGCTGTATCTAGCTTTGTTTAGCCCTGTATGTGTGTAGGGTGTTGTATGTAAGGTATAGGGCATAATATGTATTGAGGACATAATATGTGCCCACACATGACCTACCTACCTCATTTGGCGACCATACCGCTGACAATAAGCTAAAATGACCTTGGGCGCGCCACAGCGACGTCAACGAAAAGAAACCGCACCATAATAATTTTGAATAACCTGGTGGGAGAAAATACCTTTTGCTGTGGTAAGTTCAAGCAATTCTACCAGATAAGATCCTTCTCGCCTTGTTTGAGCAGTGCAGTTTTAGTTTGTGATCAGTTCATTCAATGTTGAGATTTAAAATCAAGTTCAGTTCTAATTTGACAGCGAAACCCTCTTTTTTGGATGGGATTGTGCATAATTTCATTCTTTGGAAAAGTACACAGTTGACGAAATCTTGAAATCATGTACTGATAAGCTTTACCCCTTAAAATTCTAGTAAGGAAGCTAAACTCGATGTGGAATCGATTCAGAAATACTGTACATTCGAGACTAAAAGCCTGGAGTCATTTTATGTCTGAAAACTTGGAACTAAATTAATTTTACGCGTGATTTTTTTTACAGTTTGCATTACGTGGAAAAAGAGATTGAAATTACTATGGATGAAAGTAAGTAACTACATGTAGATTGATTTTAAATGAAAGTCATCTTAACAAAGTCAGTTTGACTTGATCAATGCTCATTTGTAAATGAATGGCAAGACAGAAAAAAAGAAATGCTGGTGTGTTGTTTGTTTGATAATATGAAAACATCTTTGTCAGATCAGGGATTGTGTAACCAATATAATCTGCATCACACAGATTACATTTGAAATTGTTAACAATGCATTGGTGGACTAAAGCTGGCTTCTCTTCTTGCAAATTGGGCTTGTTGCTGATCTTAGTAATCATGTAAACTGTTTGTAACTCAGGAACGATCTTCTGGCCAAGATCTTTCAGCTGTTTTTGAACTGCGTCAGTAGATTTCTGATCTTTGAGCAGTAAAGTAATCCTGATGGGTTTTTGTGTTTTTGTGCCAGTTTCAGTTGGGGTTTAAGGATGATGTTGATGATATACAGCGACAGTTTTCCTCATCCTGAAGACAATAATTGTGATGGGTTGATAAGTTGTCGTGTACACCTGCATAAATTAAAATGTAACCCACATCCTGTCAAAATTTTATACGGAGGGGGATAAATCTATTGAATGTGATTGATGTCCAGGTTCTGCATGTGACTGAGGTCCAGTGGGAGCCACTTTCTGGCTAACTTGCCCTATGGGCAACCTGAGGTTTGTTTTTTTGGTTGCCCATGGTTTATATTGGATGCCCACCTACTAAGTCCTGTTGCCCATGAAAACTCACAGGAGGCAATGTTAAAAAAATATACAAATAATAAAAAATGACAATTTTATCATTTAATATAGTTGACATGAAATATGGTCCACGAATGAGGATATTGTAAAAGCTATAATAAACTATCATCTAATTATTTGATTTTCACCAATCACTTATCGAAAGTAATTTCGTAAATGCTTTGCTAAAATAGCAAAGCACATCTGGCCATGCATAAACTGGGTTCCATTGTAACAAGAATTTCTTACATGCTGCCTAACACAGTGGCCACTATAATGTTCATATCTTTTATTACTATGGTCAACATTTTTAAATCGGGTGTATATATAAAACCAATCTAAGGAAATGTATGGCTATAGTTTCCATCTTTAAGCAATTGCTTTTATTTTAGGCCCGATAACTTCTGCATCTAGGATCAACTCCAGCGATGCTCCAAAAGGGAGCCAATTATGTCCTGTTGTGACAGGGAAAACTGCAGCAAAGGTACCAGTCACAAATCCATGCACAGAACCTCAATTTAATGGTATTTCAGAAGTGCAGGTATGTAAATATCATGTTTGAATAATATATTATCCAAACCTTTCTACACCTAGCCAAGTCAGATTCTATTGTCTTCCATTTGCACTTCCCTTTTTGTCTCACATTGTAATGCAATGATCTTTGTTTGCACAGTTTTCTTCTGCTTGCAATTGGAAACAAATCCCTCAGTCTCCTGCCTCAAAACCAGAAAATATTTTTTGAGTGAACAACTTAACCAAAACATGTGTTATCGACTAGTTGAGAACAAAAATATTTGATGATTTTAGTTCAGCAGAATGTTGTTTGAAATTTTCTTTCATAACCAACTCATGTGCACCCACACTTTGCACATGATGAATTAAAGAAGAACTAGCAAAACAGGCAGAAAAAGAAAGCTGCTAGTAAGAAAATATATCTAACGACAAAGACAACAGAATATGAAAAAATGGTTTTCTTAGATCTTTATTTATGTATTTATTATAGACTTGGAGAGAGCAAAACTGGAAAGCCCTGCTCAGGTTGGAGGAGTTGATAAAAGTATGTATCTCAATTAATATTACAAAATAATTTATGTCTACTGAGTTGATAATGTAAATTGGCCATGGTAAAGAGTTTCTAAGGTGATGTTTATTCTTGCCATAATAACTTATTTGGGGTTTTATTAAAATATTATGTGCTTCTCTGCAGAACGAAAAAAAAGAGATGGTGAAGTTGCAAGAGCGAAAAGACTATCTGCAAGATCTATTGATGGTATGATAATTTTTTTAATTGGTTTTTGCAATAACTGCTTAACCTGTCAAAACACCTTGTAAGATTAAATATTGTAATAGGAGCAAGTGGAGTCTTATTCCATTTGTAGTCATACAAGTGATTAACACAACAACAAAATCAGACGACCACTATGCAGGAGTCCGGTTTGTCAATCACGAGTATGATTGAAGACAGAATTGGACAATGCCAAAACTGTTACTAATTAATCATCACTGTTACAATCTCTGAAAAAAGAAAAAAAAAAGAACCAATACATTTAGGACAAACACCTCTGGTAGAGAAATTGCCTAAAGTGAAAAATTACTCCATTTTGGAAATTCCCTAGGTTTTTTTTTTTTCCTTTTCAGGATAAGTGGTTGTTGTTATGGTTATTGTGATAAATTCTGTGATTGGCTTCTTCAACAGTCCAATCACAGATGTCTGATTACAGCCAACTGTCCTATCACAGTTACAATTGAACAGAATGATCTGTGAAAAATAAAGCAATTAATGTACTAATCACATTTGAGGAAATGCAACAGTTATGATTAATATGTTTACCAGAAAGTAAAACCAAAAAATTTCCAAGTCTTTCTCAGACTGGTTAGTATAAGACCTTTCATAGAGTAGATGATCGTCAGTTTCTGAACCAGCTTCACAAAATGTACAAGATTCATCTGAGACATAACTTACTTTGGCTAGGAGGGAATTTAAGTAAATGGTGGTGTCTAAGATTTTGAATTGGAAACTTCAGGCAATCATTTTGGATGAGACAGTCTTCACCTTTATTAATGCTACAAATAGTAACATTCCTTTTGGTTAAAGCAAAGGAAAAATAAAACGATCTTTTTACCTGCAATAGGCTCTAGAGGACTCTAGCTGGGAGTAATTTTTTTTTAGAGTGAAAAGTGTTTTACTCTGTATCAGTAGAGGTGGATAGGCTTTGGATTGAAACTGTGTAACTGTTACATTTTAGTCGCAGACGGTGGAGACACGTGAGATGGAGGATGAATTAAGTCAGATGAACTTAAGACTCGCTGGGGAAGCCATGAGGAACTTCCGTAAAGAGAGAGAATTACAACATGAAAGAAGGGAAATTGAGGCGGAAATTGAAATACGTGAGGGAGTAAGAAGACCAGGTGAAGTGAACATGGATATAGGTAAGAAACGGTAACTACAGATAAACATACAAAAATGGTGTTTAGTTTTTTCTGATAGTGAAATAAAATACAGTCACATACTTTAAGATAGTACATTGGCAGTCAAGGCTGTGCTCAAAGGCGCTCGGTCGCCTCAGGCGACTAACATTAGGGACCTTAAGCAGTCAGGACGGCAACGCTAAGGAAGACTTCGATTAAAAAATGAATTTCTGCCTTTAATTAGAATTTCAAAAATGCCTGCATTGTTTTCCATCGCATACGGCGCCACACCTCAACTTCAGCATAACGTATAAAAGAAACGTTGAGTTCCAAATGGAAATTAAAATAATTTGCCGTCGCGGTTTCGGTTCGCAGACGACGCAAATTGTGGTGATTTCACATTGTTGTTTTGCATGGGACGGCTAAGAAATGTACAAAGTTTTTAAACGCACGTGCTGAGCTATTGTTCTGCCCATTAAATCTTTTGTTTTTCTATGTCCTCGTTGCCGTCGCCGTCGTGGTTTGCTTAAAATCCCTATTAGGTCCCAGGCGACTGAAAAAATATTGCGGTCGCTCAACCGGGCACTCGGCCCCTTGTGCAGCATTCGCCTCTGTGGTAAATGTGGCGATTGAGTGATACATTTTTATTTGGTTGATTTCTAAGCGTTATTAGCAGAAAAATATTCTTTTGCGCGACACGTAGTAGAATTGTTCACGTTCGAAGATCTCGAAGTTACTGTCGCATTTCGTTCCACATGATTTCACACGAACCCAAATTACAATAATTATTGAAACAATAGTTCTTTTCACTTCACACGTGATAAACCGCACTGATATTGCAGAAATTTACGTTGAACACCGCGATTTTCCTTGAGATGATGAAAGTCTGATTTATTTCAGCGTTTCGATGGATTTGGAAAGTGTAGCGCGTTTATCTTTATTTCAAACCAAGATTCATTCTATATGCAAATTTCCGGCAAGTCAGCTTTGTTGGTAGATGTTTATCGATCGCTGTGATAGGCGACTTACATTTACTTTATGAAGATTTGGCGAGAACTGAGCTTATAACGATTTCATATTTAGACTTGTTTATTTTGGTGCTTTCGAATGAAAGTTCTCAGCGGTTTAAAATATCCAAAGAAGCACAATTGCCATTTTGAAAAATAACACCGGCTCACCGCTATTAAAAAGTAATAGTTTCTTGAGAAAGATGTTTGTTGTCTTGTCACAAGTTTGGGACAAAGAAAACATTCTGAGTCTCCATGAGGAATCAAACCTCAGACCTTCTGATTCTGATGCCCTACTACTGAACCACAAAGACTCTTTGGTGAGTGAGGTCTATTTCAAAGTTAATACAACATTCGTCCTGTATACTGCTAGGATGAGCAATGTCGATAGCGTCACATTTGTTAATAGAATGAAAAAGAAGGTAATTTTTTTTTGTTTGTCCCACACTCGTGACAAGATGTAAAACATCTATCTCTGTTTCTTTACCAAGCTCAAAACTTACCATCTTTCTTATTCTATAACAGTTTCTTTTACTAAACAATAGTTGTCATTGTAGAAATGGTACAAGCTCCCCCATGGAATGGAACTACAAGGAACCAGGAAAATCTTACGGTAAAAGGGAATACAAGGCTAAATACTCCATCAGAGACGAACTCCCAGAACAATTCAGTGGTGCAGGTACATAACTATTAATAAATATCAGTGGTGAATTTCATTAGGAGATTGAAAGTACCGTAGTTATTCGGTTATAAGGCGCACCGTTTTTTCAAGAAATTCCTAATTTCTATTAAAAATTACCGCCAAAGTTTGGGTGCGTCTTATAGGGGAATATTTTCCCGAAACAATTTTTTTTTTATCACAGTTACTGGTTTAAATAGTTATCAACCATATATTTTCATACCCTATGTGTTTAAATCTCTCAAAGCAATAACATCTTTTTCGAATATTCGCGCCCAGTTTGGTTTACCATTGGATGAAGCTAAAACAATATAATTTTTGATGAATAGTGCATTTCAAAGCCTTTCCATCGATATATAGTGTATGGTAGCTATGCTTAAAAAAGCATGCCAAAAATTTTTTTGGCGTAGGACACCTCTGAAGGTCATGTACATCATGAAGTTTTCAAATACATTGAACTCTCAAGCAAGATAGTAGCTTAAGATTTTAGAAATGTTTTGGCTGGACATATTTTTTCAGGCCTCTCACCTGCCTCTGGAGCTGAATACTTTACCAGGTAATGGTAAGTAACTACAAATAGATAAGATATTGTGAAGAAGTGTTTAAAGTATTTGGCATTACAATAGCAAGAGAGTGTGGTTCTTAAGAAAATGTATGGCAACACCAGGATTGTTCCTTTTAACCCTTTTGTTTGTAGAGGTGATTGCTTGAAAGTTAACCTCTCTGCTATTCCAATATGTTTTCTTACAAGCAGGCTCTTAGAAAAGACAAGCCTCTCAGCCAGAGGTTGTTATCCTGATGTAAAACCGAATTCTTTTAAATTAATCTAAGGAAATGTGTGGTGATCAGTAGGGAGAATCTGCCAAATGGATCATGTATAACTGAAGGTTACCACCACCCTTGGTGGCTGCCTAATGCAAAAGTCATTGAATTATAGTTTCCTTCTTTTAACAATTTTTTCCATTGTAGGCCAGGCACCTTTTGCAAACTTGGAAATGTGTTACAAAGGTGCCATGGTGACAGGGCAAAGAGTGGCTCAACGGAGAGGAACTCTCTCTAAGACTGAAGAACTGCAAGTATGTAAATATCTTGTTTTTTTAATGTAGTGAAAATAACGCACAAAACAGGTATAAACATCACAAGATGTTTGGACAGATGGTTATTTTGTATTGCGAAAAACTTGTCTACTTTAACCTTCACCAAAATGTCTAATGAGATATAATTTTTTGTGAACAAGTGTGGGCGGTAAACTTCAAATAGAGATTTACTGTAACCACTGAAGTATTAATATTTGTTAATTTGTCGTGCTAATTTAGAAGAATTTTCTTTGAAGAAAATTTGGTCGAGAACTCAACTAATTTTGACGCAGGAGGAGGAAATAGGAGAATGTAAATGTGAAAAAATCCTCTTGGGCTGCAAAGACAAATTGTTTTCAGAGTTGATACTTTCTTTACATATTGATCATTCAACTGCCTATTAACTTATCTGTTATTAATTGATGTATTAGACTCTGAGAGAACATAATGAAGCCCTGAAAGCAGAGCTCAGGAAGCTGGAGGAGAATTTAAAGGTACGTATCTCAATTAATATTACAAGATAATTCATGTTTATAATGTAAATTGGTCCGCTTAACGAGTTGCTAAGCTGACGTTTCGAGCGTTAGCCCTTTGTCCGAGTTAAGGATGATTACATGATATTAGTTTTTATGAACGCTACAAATAGGAAATAAATCCCAAATCCCTCCAGGCTTTAGACTGAAACTGTATAACTGTTACATTTTAGGAGGGGGAGATTTATTTAAGAAGTATACACAAGGAAGCGGAGGAAGTACCGCAGAATATTCGAGGGCTCGCAAAGGAAGCCATGAGGATCCGTAGACAAGAGGAAGAATTACACAACATGAAAAAAAAATTAGGCGACGTCAAAGCTAAAGAGAACTCGAGGGTTCGGCGCGATGAAGTTCAGTTAGACAGGTTGTTGGGGAAGGGGGCTTATGGAGAAGTTATGAAAGGAAAATTCCGTGGTACCGAGGTTGCTGTAAAGATACCTAGACCTAGAATGTCACTGGAAAGTGTGAATCGAGAAATTGAAATTATTTCTGAGCTTCAACACCCGAATGTGGTGGAATTTATTGCTACGGTAGTTGATGTTAAATTACCGTGGGCAGTCCTAGAATATGCCAACCGTGACACCCTGGAAAAACTTTTGAAGGAGCGGCCATTGGAACTCTTTGAAGTATTCTCTCTGGGTCTAGATGCAGGTTATGGCCTTTTACATCTTCACGCGCGTCGTCCGAACCCGATTCTTCATCGGGATCTTCATCCCGGAAACGTTCTCTTGTTTGGAACCAACATTTCCCCAGTGCTTAAATTGAGCGACTTTGGTATGGCAACCTTTTGCCGTGATACCTTGTCACCAAACCGAGATACAACGTACACAACAAAAGTAAGAGAAGTGTTTCTGTTACAATCATGCTTCTATTGTAAGGCTATCTTTTATATTTTGTAGGTGCGATCGCTTAGAAAGAACGTCGGAGTTCTGTTGGATTTGTCGGAGATCTCAGAGACAGCGAACATTAGGAAAGAACGTTTCTCGTCAACCGAGTGTCAAGTCAGAATTGGTCATTCTTTTGTTTGTTATCCTCGCGATCGCAGCAATCCAGTAGTAACCAGACCAAGAAATAATAATTTCATTCGGTACTTTGTGGCTAACGTAATCGACAGGAAATCTCAGAGAAATTTTCGATTGAGTATCAGAGAAAATCAAATACTTTCCCTTTATTTAGGTGAAGCCGTAAAGTTGCTTACATAGGTTACCTATTAATATATTTACCCATAGCCACCAGTAACCATATACCCTTTTTGGGTGCTTATGTTATTCCAGGATGATGTGTTCAGCTTTGGGCTGCTGCTGTTAAGGATGTCCATCAGAGAGAGGCCTGATTGGATAAACCCGAAACGTCAGTTGAAAGAAGTACCCATCCCTTCCCTGCGAAAACTGATAGGAGTGTGCATCAGAAGAATGCCAAACGGTCGACCGGACATGCAAAAAGTGGTTTACGAGCTGGAGATATTGAAGTTGCTTTTCCCGCTGGGGATAAGGAGTACAAGAACATCTTTTAGAAAACATCTGGAAGAGTGTTTAGATAAAGGGAAAAAAAAAGAAGTTACGTTCTAATTCGCTTCGCTCAAACGAACGTAAATTATTTTACCCTTAAATTCCCGTAATAAATTAAATCAGACAAGCAGTATGATCCGTAAGCGGATCCAAAACACAGTTTATTACATCTAGATTAAATCAAAATACAAAAATTACTCCTTCTTTTTTTTTTTTTTTTTACAATTCATTTGTAGAAGTCTTTATTGTTTACGCTAATATAAAGAATAAAGGAACGTGTGAAATATATAAATTCTCAATGATATTACAAGCGTAAATACTTAGTTACTTGTAATCTATTCTCAAGGCTCTCTTCAATGTACATGTCCTTGGCAGAGTCAGACTCCCATCTACCATGTATTTTAAGTAGTCTTTCTGAAATCGAATGACCACTATTACGCATTACAGATGTAATGCCACCGGATCTTAATAATAATAATAATAATAATAATAATAATGAACGTTCTTTAATACGCATTTAAGAATCTCAATGCGCTTACAATTTTTACTAAGGTTGAGATCGGACGTCAGCATAATCAGGCGCCTCTGGCAGCCGCTTTAGTCCATGTAACGACCTCACCTTTTCCCCCCCATCCCACCCCAGGGGAGGACATCCATCACACAGTAATCTCGTGCGTGGGAAATTAACGTCTCCTACCCCTAACCCTGCAGGAGACGGGACCTCCATTTATTCGTCCCTATCCGAGAAGACTAGAATATCTAACCATTTCTTGATGTTGAGAAAGGAAGCATATTCTTCTCAGTTAATTTTAAGACCCTGAGTGTTGGTCCGGCCGGCTTAAGCTATGAAGACCGAAATTATTAGGATTATAACCTAGCTTACTCAGGCAATCTCGAAGAATTTCCCTGCATCTAGTACAAGAAATCTTACCACTTCTCAGGGTATAGCTAGAATTACTAGGGTGAAAAGTTAGAGGTCTAAATAAAGGAAGGTTACTATTGCTGTCAATCCCAGAAAGGTTCAGATACCTTCTTAAGACACCGACAGGACAGTACTTAGATGTGGAAGCGCTAAAATAGACATAATTCCCTTCCCTATAAATATCGGTTTTGCTTCGAGGCAAGAAAATCCTTATATAATCATTATGAAACTCAATATGCTTCGGAACGATATTACATAAATCGTCATACCGAAGAAAACCTGCGAAAGCTAATGAGCATAATGCGGCAATACGAAGATCCTTCAGATTAGAATCTTCCTTGTTATGAACGTCCAATATGTTCCTAATGATTTCTGTTGTGACCTCTGGCGTTTGGTAGATTCGATAATATTTCTGCAAAAATCGCTATCCAATGGGTTACAATCAAGACTAGGAACAAATGAATGTAGCCATTTAAGGGCGGCGTGGGTCAAAATTACAGAAGAACTGGAACTACAAGACTGTTGGACTTCGAACAAATAAAGAGATACGACACCTAAAGGAAAAGGTAGCTCAAAGCTTATTTGCTTGCTTTTACACCAATCCAAAAACTTCTTAATAACTCGCATATAGGATTTTGCTGTAGCATCTGCTCTGGATTTCAACATCACGTCTAAAACCTGAGTGGCATTCAATGACGAAAGAACTGGGGAACCTTTCCATGACTTGCTTGAAGAAATTATCTGAAAAAACAAGAACACAACATACAAACTAAAAGGAACCAAACACACGCCCTTAGTGTAGTGACAATAAGATGGGAATCCCAAAGTGCCCAATGGATCATTGTTTGGGCCGGAGTCTGGGCCAGTGCCCTTAAAACAAGACATCATTGTTAGGCCATTGCCACAAAATACAAATCATTGTTTCGGCCCAGTGCCTCATGAAATCAAACCATTGCTTAGGCCAGTGCCAACACACTTGATGAACAAGTCCAAATTGTTACTCAGTAAATTCCATTCTTAAGGCGGTAATATAGCCTGTGAATTGGTGAGACCCTAACAGCGAATTATGATTTCTTCCATGAATAAGAACCTCCCTCCCAGCACGAATAACGTGGGCCACAAGAGAATCACCATATCTGTGCATAATTAATAGCCAGTACTGAGCTGAAGGCCAGAAGGGCACAACAAGTGTACCAACGGCATACTGACACTTCATATAATGCAAAACACGTGGAACAATACCCACGGGTGGAACCACTAGACAATTTTCCCCACCAAGAGGCTGAAAGAAGAAATCGACACCTGCAGTATTGGGATTCCAAAATCTTGAAAAGAATTTGGGGAGTTTGTGATTGTAATAATTGGCAAAACAATCAACAGTATGGGGCCCCCAACGTTCATCAAGAAATAGAAAAAATTCGTTGGTAATTTTCCAATCATCGGTATCAATTCATCGACTTATACAGTCAGCTTGCTGATTCAAAGTACGTGGAATCCACTGGATCTCTAAATGAATCCCCGACTGGATAAAAATACTGAAAATGCTCCGCGCGATCCTGTGTAGATCAAGTTTCATGCTGCCCACTTCAACAATCTTGGCAGCGGCTTGGCTGTCAGTATACCACTTAACGTGCGATGCTTTAAGTACAAGGGCACATGATTTCAATGAAAATTCAATAACAGATAACTCTCTCCATGTTGAGCTTCGCAAACTTTCGTTCTCCGTCCACAATTTGTGACACACAAAGTCATTGTTAAAGTCAATGAATGCACCGCCTCCAGTGGCGCTAGCATCTGAGTAAACAAAATAACTAGGATTTTTACTTACAAAGCAATATCTGCTGTTGAGGTTAATCAAATTATCTTTCCAAAAATATAATTCCTCTTTGCAATAATCATCAAGACAAAATACTGAATCCCAATTATCTACACACAAGGTCGACATAACGCAATGTCTGGTCATTATCCTACCAATGTTTCCAACCACAGGCGCAGTAGAGATAATTTGACCCGTGAAAGAAGCCAGCGCTCTAGCAGAAAGTTTAAAATCGGCCTCAATAATACGATCTATTGTGTTGGTAATCTTAGTAATTCTTCTCTCTACAATTCTTAGAACCCAATAAAGAATTCCAGGTTATACCTAACCAGTCCAAAATTTGAGTAGGTTCCCATACCGATTTCTCTTCTTTCACTACAAAACCCGCACCATACAAGTCCTGCCTTACGGTTTGGGCCTTAAGAAGACAACCTTCTTTGTCCTGAACTATCGCCCAACCATCATCTAAAAAAATAGCTATGCAAGTACCTTGTATTCTCCAATGTTTCTCTAAAGGTTTAAGAAGCTTTGTGAAAATATAGGGAGCTGTAGACAAACCAAACGAAAGAACGGTGAAAACGTAAAATACTTCGTTATTGGAATCTGGAGCACGCCAACAAAACCCCAAAAACGTTTGGTGATCCTGCGAAATTTCGATATGGTGATAGCCACTTTTCAAGTCAAAAGAAAACGAATCCTTGGCAAAATAAGCCATAGCAATTTTCCAATCCTCGTATTTGATTCTTTGTTTAATTAGGGACCTGTTAACGTGACGTAAATCAAGAATTAATCTCTTTTTGCCACATGGCTGAATAGATACTGATGAGTGGTTGACAATGAAAGGTTGCTTATCAACCCTACAAACCCGACCTGAATTAACTAACTCAAGAACAGCTTGGTCAACGAAATTAGCATGAAGTCGAGCAGACTTATTATTCTTTAGCCTTACAGCTAATAGAAGGCTAGCAAATGGTAATTTGTAGCCCTTTTCAATAATAGTCAAAATGAAATTTGGAGCACCAATAGATCTCCAAAACCCTAGATTTTTCTTCAAATTACCCTTAACGGTTAAAGACTGTCCGCTTTCAAGTTCGTATTTCTGTACGATTTCTTCTACCTGTGCCAAGTTCTTCTACCTGTGCCAACTCTTCACTGCTTTGATTGGTATTGAGATGAATGGCCTCCGGCTGGCTTGTTGTAGGAGAGTCCAGGGTAAGTATTGTAGTTGGGAAACTGGTAACTTCCTGGCCAGAACATGAATCTGCAGTCTTTAGCCCAGTGCCCAAGTTTTCCACACTTGTAGCAACGTGAGTAGTCGCAAGAAGCGCCTCTACGGCCTGAATAAAAGTAATAAAAGAAAACGTAGTAAGCAGAGGGGAGGGGGGGGGGGAAAACACTCGCGAAAAGATGTAAAACTGTGAAGTAGGAAACCGCAAACGTGAATGGTGTACAGTGAACAGTAGAGAGTATAAGTACTAGAAGCCGACCAATAACAGTGTAGAAGGCACAATAAAGGGAGTGGCAGGTGTCAAAGCGAAACAAGTACGCCTAATTACTACGAATACCAGCGGAAAATACATTTTCTCTTCTAATGATGGATACTGGAAGAAAATAGTAACGGTGTCACGCTATTTTATGTGCCTGTTTTAGATAAAATTTGTATTCGCTTTAGCTTACTAGCAAAAAAGCCCGTGAAAATCGTTCAAAAGAAATATATCTTAGTAGTTACGCAAACAAAATCAAGAAACTGTCGCAGTACCTCAAGGCTCCTTTGTTCAGTACGATCTTGTACATCTCAGGTTTGAACTTTTCGTGGGGAACAAGTGCTGCAACTTACATGACGTATTTTAAATTTAACCACTGTACTGTAAACTTATCTGTTCGACCCTTGAGGATATGGGGAGCCATTTGTGCCAAAAATTGCAATCGAAAATGATAAAACTCTATCGTTTGTGCTAAAATATCAATTGCTAGTGATAAGACTCAATCGTTATTGCTATTATCGATTTTTTATCGATTCTTGAAGTAGTTTCCCGCTTTTTAAGCAAAGATGAACCAATCAAATCTTGCGTACTTAATTTGATAAGAACATTGATATGAGAATAAAGGTAAAGAGAGACCGGCACAGACATTCCATGTATGGGGAGCCATTTGTTGGGATCAGCCTTCTATTGTCCTTGAGAGCTTTGGAATGTCAAAGCACTGCTTATAGAGATTACTGTAACCTTGGCCAAAAATTAATTTGTCACGTAATGAGGTCACGGCTCTAAAAGAGTTGAAAAACAACTCTGCTTTAAACCTCGAGAAAGCAGACTAAGATACAACAACAGTTATGAATGAGACAGAAAAAAAAATTGAAGAGGCAAAAGTGCAACTCGACAACAAAGTTCACAACAAACCTCGTAGAGCAAAAACCGATAGTCAAAAACACTCAGGCAAGGGTTAATGAGATCATTGACCAAATGCATCGGAGCAAACACATTGATGACGCCAATAACAAATGGCTTTCACAAACTCCCCATCCGCGTAGAAAACCAATATTCTGTACGCTTACGAAAACAGACAAACGTATACCGGTCGGTAGACCTATAATCTCGGGTTTTGACGGTCTTACTAAGAGAATATTATTTTTTGAGGAAACGCTTCTCCAGCCTATCGCGAAACAATCCTATATAAAGGATACCACTGCTTTTATCAAAATACAAAACGTCTCTAGAGCTTGTACACAAATGTACCTCAAAAAGAAGGAACAAATGTAGTATGTGAAGCATACGAAAAGTTCCGCAACCATAACGCACCGATCCCAACGCACTACCTCGGGGAAATGCTTGGCTTAATGAGCTGTAAAGCTATCTTTACATTTTGTTGGTGCGATCGCTAAGACTGCTCAGAAAGAACGTCGGAGCTCCTGGGATTTGTCGGAAATCCCAGAGACAGCGAACATTGGGAAAGAAAGTTTCTCGTCAACCGAGTCAGAACTGCTCATTCTTTTGTATGTTATCCTCGCGATCGCAGCAATCCATTAGTAACCAGGCTAAGAAATACTACTTTTAATCGGTACTTTGTGGCTAACGTAGTCGGCAGAAAATCTCAGAGACAGTTTAAATTGAGTATCAAAGAAAATCCGGGATGATATTGAATTTTACTTGACTTGACTTAGTGACTGGTCTATTTCAAAAGAATTATTGATATTTTATATCAAGTAGTTATTTTTATTTGCCTTATATTATCCAACAACACCATTTCAGAAAAATAGTGAAGTATGAAGTTTGCAAATGCCAGATACCTTCCCCTTATTTGGGTGAAGCCGTAAAGATCCTTACATACTCCACACTACCCTTACAAAAATAAGCACACTTACATCTATCTTTGACAATTAATAGTTACTTTTCTTTTGCGAAGGAGGCCACAGATCCATGAAAAACAAAAACGCTCTGAAAGGTTGCCTAATAGATAGATTTAGCCAAGCCTAAAAGCGGAGCTCGTATTTTTTTCCCCCGCACGTCTCAAGGGCACAACGCCTTGCCCTGGCTAGGACTAGAACCCGGGTCGTCCGACTCGGAGCCTAGTGCACTGACCACTGGACTACTGAACAAAGCCATGGCGTTGGGGTACCCGCGGTACAGTTGACCGCGCATGTTAAAAGTAACACCTTGTACGGTTGTACGGCCGCGGTCGTACGGTCGTACGGTCGTATGGTCGTACATCCAAATTTTTTCGGCTTGATGGGTTACTACTATTTTGTATAATTATGGGGCTACGCTCTGCGAGCTCCGCTATTAATGTATTATCTATAACCACCAGTAATCATATGCACTTTTTGGGTGCTTTTGTTATTCTGGGCTGAAGTGTAGCTTCGGGCTGCTGCCGTTAATGTTGTGCATCAAAGAGTGGCCTAATCGGGAAGAACAAGGACGTCAGGTGGAAACAGTACCCAACACTTCCCTGTGAAAACTGATTTAAAAAAAGTGCATCGCAGAAGAGGCAGTCGACCGACCAAAAATGAAAAAAGTGGTTAATGAGTTGGAGGAATTGATTAAAGATATTTTTCCGGGATATGTAGGGTAAGAAATATTTAAGAAACGTACTGGAAAAGTATGCTGATAAAAAATATATTAAAAAAAAAAAAAACGTCATGAACATGTTATTTGAAATCTATATACACAAAAATAATCCTGCGCAAATATGATTAACCCGTACCTTCAAGCATTTAAGCTCCGTTAATGTTTTTGCTGCTATCAGTGATATGTATAATTAATGATTGGATCAACATGCTTATTGAAATTTTTATACATAGAAAAACCCTGCACAAATATGAGTAAACTGTACCATCAAGTATTTGAGCTCAGTAATGTTTACACTGTAATAATACGTATAGTTAATGTTGAACTCGTTATCAATGTTTTTTATGAAATTTATATAGTTTGAATTTTAGGAGATATACACGACGCTCAAAGCTCTTGCCAAATGGAGCCTCTTGGTCTTTTAGGTCTTTAAGAGATTGTTTGCATTTCCAATGTCCTTATGCAAAGATACTCTTCCTGTGTCACACATAAGTAGCCCGAGTAAACGCCTGTAGGCGTCTAGTTTTAAGATAGGATTTAAAAAGGTCAAATTTTGACTTTTATTTTCTAATTTACCTGAGTTTCAAAGAAAATCACAAATTTTAGCGTTCAACTTAATAAGTGAACTTAATAAATGAAATCCAGAATTTCATTCGTTTTACTCTTTGTTGTACTGTGATTGGTCAAGAAGACCCATGCCATTTTCTCCGCCAATCAGTCGGATGCAAACCCGAAACCAATCACGACTTGGTTACACGCGTTTTCCCGCGCTTCAAGCCGTTTGGCTATTCTTAATTTGAGTTCTGATTGGCTCCTTGTATTTTTGTACCTAAGTAAAAAACACGACACTCAATTGAAAGGCGCTTTACTTGTACGAGGAAAAAATTAATTAATAATTAATTAATAATGGTGTTACAAACAGTTAATTGTTGAGTTAAATGTAACACTACAAACAGATTAAAAAAATCGAAAACATATATTGCAATTTTAGAAATATTTTTAAGAGATGTTGACATTAAAACTACTTTCTTTTGTTATATACAAATAAGTACCTAGAATGCCAAGAGAAACAAAAACCTCTTTAAAAAATTACAGATTAGATTTTTAAAAAAATGGCTATGTTATGTCAAAGACATTAAATGTTTTTTATCCTTCTTTTGATATGCTTTCTTGATCTTGATTGGTCTGTCTGTGCAGAGAAACTCTGCTTGCTTCTGCGTCGATCAGTTCAAAGCTTCAATTTTCCCCCATGGACAGCCCCGCGGACATTTAAACCTTTGAAGATTGGCTTGTTCAAAGCTGTATTTAAATGTCCTGCTCAAGCACAGTTTTTTATCGCACGATTCTTCGTGTGATCAACGAACGTTGTAGAATTTAGGAAAGTCACGTACTATTTTGTAGTGCCGCTGCTTGGCTTTTTCGTTTGTAAGCATCATTCGACGATTTGAAAATTTCTTCTAAGCCATTTGCTCACGAAAGCGGATTCTTTACCTTGAAACTCCACCAGTATTAAAATTAACACCAGAATATTCGGCTGGTTCAAATTTGCCACCTCACCCAAACGAGGCTCAAATTCCCCACCCCCGGTGGTACAGATGCCCGTGGGGTTGCCAGGGGGAAGGACTGTGGAAGCTTCAAATTGATCGACGCTTAAATCTGTCTTGTTAGCGAGACAAAGGAGTTACAAAAGAAAGTTTTCAACGTCATGTTGAAGCCATTTGACACCAGATTCATTTTACGCGTCTTCATCAAGTTTCAGAAGCCATCCGGGTTTCTATTTTTATCAGCCATAAGTGGTCCCGGCCTTTTCTTATGGTCACACATTTTTCACTGAGGCGCCACGCTACAGACTCTAGTTAAAATACGGGGCTGTCTCGTGTGAAGTCGCGAATCGCTGTCAAAGCTTTAAAGCGCATGCGTTTGTTGAAGGTTTCAAGTGAATAGCAAGCGAGAACATTCTTTGAAAAGGGTGACAAATTTCACATGCTTTTCAATTGCTTTTGGCCTGTATTTTACACGGCAATTTAGATATCAATATGAGAGTTTCACGTAAAATAGACTGCCTCGCCAGATTTAACTATTAAGAGCGCCTAAGCCCAAGAGATAGTCGTCCAGTCAGCTGAATAGTGTCTTCCGTTTTAAATTTGGGCATTTGTACTTTGGAGACAACATGAGTTAAAGCTACGAAAACGTTTGCCATATATGATACTTTAATTTTTAGCGATTGACGCTTTCGTATATCTCAAGTTCTATCAGGTCGTAATTTATCGACT